TTGTTGATTTTAGAGAGGTAGGAAGGGAGGGAGAGACATCGATTGGTTGGTTCCCTCCTGCACAAGCCCTGACTGGGTATCGAACCCACAACCCAAGTGTGTGCCCTGACTGAGGATCAAGCCCCAGCCCTTTGGCATGGGATGGCACTCTGGTCAGCTGAACACTGTCCTGTGGTCTCCATCCCAGTGACAGCCACTCCGAGAGGCCATCAGACCCACCTCTTCTCTCGGGTCCGGCTTGGTCTCCCAGCTTCCGGCTGCAGCGTCTCCCCTCCTCCTCCGTGGGGGACACTGGGACGCCCTCGGCCCCCCATCCCCACCCCGTTTGCCCGCCATCTCCGCCAGGCTCGTCCTTCCATCTGTCCCCTTCGTTCTTAAATTTTGGAATTTAAAATTTCTTCTCCCTGGTCTATGAACAGGCTTCGGCCTATGTCCAAACGGGACAGCAGGCACACCCCCGCCCCATCCTGTCCTAGCTCCTCGCTTCGCACAGTCAGTCTTCTCTACCCGACTCTCGCTCTCCTCTCTCCTGCATTGTCGGTGACCTGTCGTCTCCCGAAACCACACTGTCAGCAGCCTAACGCAGCCTGGCTTGTGGATTCCAGGTGGGGATCTGGGGCCGGCCAAGCTGGGCCGGAAGCTGGGCCCCGCCAGTTAGCAGCTGTGTGACCGCCTGCCTGTGCCCAGGCTTCCTGGTCTGTAAAACTCGGGTGGTCTCATACCTAAGTGCAGGTTGTAGAGAGGAATGAGTGAAACCTGCAGGATACTTACACAGTGCCTGGTATATAATAAATGCTCGATGAGTGCAACCTGTTATTGTTTGTGCCCGCACATCCCAAAGGTACACACACTCAACGTGCTGTAACCAAACTCACCTTTTGTCCTTGAACTTCCTCTTCCTCCTGGGTCCCCACTTGTAATGGAGATCTGCCTGTGGCTGCTCAACCTCAGGTCACTCAAGCCCATTCATTCATCAGCCGAGGCTCCCTCTGCCTCACCAGCCTCCTACTTGGTCTCCCCACCTCACCCTTTGCTCACGAAGCCACCGGGCACACCACAGGGGCTCATCTTATCCTGATAAAAATTCTTCAGTGGCTCCCTATTGCCCACCAGACAAAGTCAGACTTCTCAGCCCACCGGATAAGGCTCTCTGCCAGGTGCTGCCCACCCGCCCCACCCACCCCAGTCCTGCTTCCTCCCTTGTCCCCGTGAAGCCCCAAGCAGTGCCCTGAGAAACCATGCTGCTTCGACCCTCCCTGCCTTCCTGTCCTTCTCCCTGGACACCAGTGGCAGGAAGTGCCTCAGGCCTCCAGACTGGCCGCCCCCCTGCCCCGCACCCCAGTCTCCGCCAGCTCAGCACCCCACTTTGCCATCAGGTACGGCCCCCTGCACATCCTCCGTCACACTTCCGTGCCGTTGCCCAGGATGTTCCCTCCCTCTTTATCTGCCAGACACTCATCCTTCACTTTCAGCTTGCAAGGTCACGACCAGGGGAAGCAATGCGGCGTCTGCAGCTCGAGTTGGCCCTTCTCCCTTTGCTCCACAGTGCTCCCAGCCTGCCTCCGGCCTGTCACTCCGGGCCAGTGTCCGATTGCAGGCTTTGTTTAACTAACTGTCTCACTCAGCAGGCAGAGCTGCTGCAGGAGGGGGAGGGCACACCCCGCCCGGACCATGTCTCCTGTCCCGCTCTGTTTTCTCTTAGCTCGTTACCCCGGACACACCACACGTGTGATCTGCCTGTCCCTCTCTCCCCATTAGAATGTCAACTCTAGGCGGGCAGAGCATGGTTCGTTTTGATGCATCCCCAGAGCCTAGACTAGAGGCTGGCGTGTAGTAAGTGCTCAGTAAACATCTGTTGAATAAATTGTTGAATCACTGATCAATGTTACATTTTCCCGCTGTGTATCTCTGGAATTTAATACATTTGCTGACTTGTAATAGGCACAAAGTATATGTCTTTGATTAAATGAATGAATGGATGAATACTTCACCAAATTGCTGCCTGTTTTAAAAAGTTCAAACAAGTGGAATTCCAAGTTCTCTACTAACTGGCCACTCAGAGTTTGAATCCTCTGTGTCTCAGCCTAAGCCCTTATCTGGAGCCCAACTGTGCTGCTCACTGCCCTTGACCATGTCGCAGACACGGTTCTCGCCACACCCCTGCCCAGACTCCACATCGAAACGCTATTCGCCCATTTTTCCAGCTCATGTTCATGAAGCACATGAGATGAGCCAATAGCCGCTCTAACCGCTGTCCTTCACCAACGCCTGCCCACGCCTTTCTGTCCTCAAGGTGAGAGCAGCTTGGCCCTCACCATCCAGGTCCATGTGACTCTCCTCGGGCACTACTGACCCACATTCTGATGCCCCGTCACTGGCATTATTAACCTACAAGAAGACACTACACATTTGTACATTTTACAGAAAATGTCTCTTTAAAGAATCAGCATTTTTTAACACTTCAAATATTTTGGATGAAAATTTTTCTAACATTTTTTCACAATTCCCCTGTTTTTTTTAAATGGAGTACTATATACAGAACATCCACCCAACTTGTATAACTCAAGGTCACTAGGGACACTGTTACTCTGTGATGCCCCAGTGTGCCAGGAGGAGCCCCCGGTAAAGGGAAAGGGTGAGTCCTGGAACAAAATGACCTTCACAGTGACCCCTCTGCAGTGCCCGGGGTCTGCGAACTCACCTCCTGCTCTTTTACTGTGTTTCTTACCTGGAGTGGGCTTAGAAGTCAGATGATGAAGCTTATTGGAAATGCTTGTAAACGAAGCGTAAACAGTATCTAAGTGAGATGTGACATATCCTTTGCTTTATGAAGTCTGTCTGTTTTAAAGCATGGGTTTTATACAATCTATTTCGCTAGTAAAGGCCTTTCTCACTCAACTCCTGTTTTTCCTGAGGCTGGGTGAATGACTTTAAAAATGTGCCTTCAGGGCACTCGTCAGTTTACGCATCCTCTTCTGCTGCTGGCTATTTTCCGTCCATATTTCATGGCTTTTCAGTGAGGTTGTTCCTTGGTTAGATTAGTAACTTCCGGAGAGCCAGTGGTATTTTAGTTACTCGTTCATTTGCTAAGTATGTTTTAAAGCAACTTCATTATAGAAACTGCACCACAGGGGTGGGGGTGGGGGTGGGAGGGTGTTTTCTGGTTGGGAGAACTGGAAAGGGCCTTGGGTGAGAGATGGCATTTGAGTTGGTCCCAGGGAAGACAGGGAGGAATTCAGTGGGTAGAGTTCTGGGGTGTCCATGAACTTGTGGCAAGTGCGGTCATGCAGTAGCCATGAGAACACCCCCTGGGGGGTACCTACCCCACCTTCCTAGGTGAGTTTGGAAAAAATGGGTAAGCGAGACAGATAAATGTTACCTTTATTACTGGTTAAGGTTACAAGCTGGAGAACTTGACCTTGGGCAAGAGGTGAGCAGGGCTGACCCCAGTCGTGACAGATAAAGGGGCCCAGGCAGGCCTCCAGGTAGGCAGACCGCCCTTCAGTGCCTGGGAAGTTTTCCAACTCTTACCTTTCCGACTTGAATACTTGAGATTGCCAGATAAATCGAACAGTAGATGGCATTTAAAGGTGAATTTGTATCTTAAAATTGAGTTTATTTTATACTTCCCTTCTTTCCCACACAGGTACCACGTAGGAAGGCAGCTAGACTTACTGAAGTAAGAATTACTCCCCTCGAAAATTCAGCGAGGGTCTGCAGATCACACGGGGCCTGTTCAGGGGCATGGTAACTAGAATTGGAAATCTCTGGCTTCCTGTAACTTTGAAGGGTCTACATTTAAAGATGAAAGAGGCACGTTTTTATCAAGCTCTGCAGTGAAGCCTGGTGGTAGGCTGGTGGTGTTGGGGGCGGGGGTGGCACTGTGAAGACAGCAGCACATTGAACAGTCCATGTCCTCTGAAGAACTGCATGTACCCGGCCCAGAGGGGGAGGGGGAGAGATGTCCAGGGGACAGTGAGGGCTTTGGGGGCGTGAGTGCCCTAACCAGGGCCAGTTTGGGGTGGGCGTGCTTCTTCACCCCCACTGTGCAGTGTTTATTAGAGCCTGCCTCCACTCACAGCTGTGTCTTGTGAGCAGCTCAGGGTCCCAGCCAGACTGCAGACTCTCCACAGGGACCCCCAACCCCACCCACTCGAGACGACTGAGGAGGAAGAGTGCAAGCATTCCTACTGATAGTTGACAACTGCGCATGCAGTGCCATGGGGCGCCAGCCACTCTCCAAAACCCTAGTACAGCCATCCCGTGAGGTCGGCATGGGATCTTCTCGCTTTTCACACGGGGAGGCAGAGGCTCAGAGTCAGAGGCAGACCTGGGGCCGCCGGGTGGGAACCTGGCGGCCAGCCTCCAGAGGCGCGCTCTTCCAGCAGTTTCTAGGAGGTGGTTTGGCTGGGCAGTGACTATTCAACAGAATAGTCCAGGAGGGAGAGGTTGGCGGTGGGGGCCGCAGGGGGCCTGAGTTGCGGGTGGTTGTTTGTGGGGCCATTTTCTGGGTGCGTGTGAGTTTAAGTGGGAGTGTGTACACTGGTGGGGGTGTGGGTGCAGATGGATTTTGTTGGTGAGTTCTTTGAATGTGGGGGGGACAGGGAGGGGTTAGGCCCTGGACTGTGTGAATTTGTGTGTTCAGGATCCCATGAGGGCAAACGGGCTTGGGTTTTGTGTACAGTTGTGAGTATTGCATGTGTGTGAGCTTGAGGGTGCAAGTATGTTGGGGTGCTGGGCGTGGCCAATTCCTGGCCATGTGTTTAAGATGTGTGAATGCAGGGTGGGAATCAGTCTCAGGGGTCTGTGTGCGTATGCGTGAGTGTGAGTGTGCGCCTGTGAGCGCGTCCCAAAACCCGGAGTGACGCGAGGTGGGGGGGGAGACGCCGCTGGGCCCCGCCCCCCGCGGCAGGTGGGCTGGGCCCGCGGCGGGCCGGCCGCGCTCGCTGCTCTTGGCTAGCGGCCGCGCCGGGCTCGCAGGGCTGGGCTCGGGCTGCGGGGCGGCGCCGGGACAGGAAGCGGAAAGCGGCAGTGCAGCGGCGGCAGCGGCGGCGGCGGCGGGGCTCTGCCTCTACAGGAGCCCAGCGCAGGCCGCAGAGCCGGGGCCGCTGCGAGCCGAGACCGCGGCCGCGGAGCCCGCACGGCCGGTGGTGAGGTGAGTCCGGTGAGAGGCCCGGCGCGGGGCGCAGACCTCGGGCGGGGAGACGCCCCCAGCGTGGATCCCACACCCCCGCCGCAGGACTCAGACTCGGGTTCACCGCTCTCCTCCCGCCTCCCCTCCTACGGACCGCACCCCGTGTGTGCTTCCCGGGATCCCACCCCTTTCCCACCCCCGCGAGGTGCGCCCCTCCTGCCGCTGCCCCGCGCTGCACCCCACTTCCTTGGGTCCCGGCATTCCTTCCTTGCGCTTCGGACACCCCTTCTCCCTGGCTGCACTTTGGGGTGCGCCCTGGAGGTGCGCGTTTCGGCGGCCGGCAGGGAGTGGCGGAGCGTTCCTGGAGGCACCGGGCGGCTGCTTCAGCCGTGCGGGCCGGGGGCCCGGGCGCACCCTGGTCCCCACCCCGCCGCGGGGCTCGACCCGGTAACCGTCAGCGCCTGGGGGCCGCCCGGCCCAGGGCCAGAAACCGGTACAGAGCTGGCCTGTGTTCACACCTCGCTTCCAAAATTGAGCCAGCCCCGGAGCCGGGGGTGGGGGTGGGGGGGCGAGTCCGGTGGCGCATCGAAGAGCGCAACAGGCAGGTAGGAGTTTACTTTCAAAAACGCCGGGGTGGAGCAGAAGGCGGCTGGCAAGTCTCTGCCCGAAGGGTCCCGGTTGGAGGAAATCTCCCTGCACCCGGGCAGCTTCGCCAGGGGCAGGACCTCTTTTCCAACTGCAGTCTTTGAACTGCCCCAAGCAACGCGCCCAGAGGGGTGTGAAGCTTTATAAAAATTTAAACGCGTCGGTGGTGGAGGCAGGAGTGGGGCGGAGCCGCGGCCTGGCGGCGGGAGATGAGCTTGGAGTGAGACTTGGAGCCCAGAATTCTCTTGCTCAGTTTTCACATCTTTACACCAGGTATCCGGCCCGCGCCGCGAAGGTGTTGTGAGCACTTTTAGCTGCTTGTTAAGAGTTGCTAGAGCGCTTTATTATGGTGATAGTGTGACTGGCACTTGCATTTTGTTAACCCTTTTATTTTTCCGGGCTGTGGTTGGAAATGAATGTATTTTTAGACACTTATTCCAAAAAGCTAGCAAGCTGTAAAGACTCTGGCATTTTCAGTGATGTGTTTAGAAATTTTACATGTCGTTGGGAATATTATAACTTGTGTCGCCCATCAACAGTGCTAATTAGCATTCTCCTTCCTGGGGGTGGGTTCTTTGATTATACAACTCCTGAGCTCTTTAAGTGAGATAGCAGACACTGTCTACATCCAGGGAGATGTAATTAGTCATTTTATGTAACCACTAATTAGAGTTTTTAGAGTCGAATTAAATCAATGGGATCTCGTTGGGGCTCTGATTTGTGGGAGGAATCTGTTTTATTTTATACTTCACAGAAATAGCACTTTTCACCTATCTGTGAGCACTTAGCATTTCTCCACACATTGGTGGTGTCTAAGTGTAATTAGTAAAACACCCAGCGTGCAACTCTTACTGTCACAGTGGTGGCTGTGTGACTTGGTTGCAGCTCAGCCTGTAAGTAAAATGGGACAAGAGTTCTGAGACTGGCCTATTTGTAAGGACCGCCTGCCTCACAGTCTTGTCACTGTCACGTATGGGGGTGACCGGGGAAACCACGAAGGGGTTTCCTTCCCCAGCGCCAATTCCTTGTCATCCCTGCTCTTTTGAAGAATAAACAGGCCCTGAGTGAGGAAGGTTTTACGATGGTTCCCCCCCCCCTTTCTTTGTGTAAATGAAACAGTTCTGGTAATTGCTACAGTGCTATCCATTACCACGGCTCAGAGCACAGGTTCTAGAATTAGACTCTCAGAGCTTGAGCCCCTGGCTCCGGCACTTCCCAGGTGTGCGTGCGGCTTGGTACCCTTAACTGTAACATGAAGTAATGCCTCTTACCTCCTTTACAAGGTTTGCTCTGATAATTAAGTGAGATGTTAAATGAGAACGACTTACAACAGCCCCTCACACATCCTCTATCTGTTGCGTGAACTGGCCGTGGTTACGGGACTAGCCCGGTGTGGGCGAGGGATTTGGCCGTGGCACTGTGCTCTTTTCCGGAAGGTGGGCGAGACTGGGTTGGGAGGGTCTTGGGGCCGGACCACGTTTCTCCTGGGGGCTTTGGTCTGGTCTGAAGCGTGACGAGAAGGCGCGTGCGTGTCCTGCTGTCTTGTGCCCGCTGTCCTTCCAAATCCCGCTTACTGGACATCAGTCACCAAGGAGCTGATCCCCTTGAAATCTGTTTTGCCAAAGCTTAGATGTTGAGCAGGGGGCAAAGGAGTTACTTGAAAGCAAATGTACAGCATAGAACCGCAGACGTGGTGACTGTTCACAAGTCCTTAGAAACCTACACCAAGCTGCTGGGGCGTTTTAGAGGTAATTAATGACTCGGGCCAAGGCAAGCTGAAATCATTGGCAGGACAGGTAAAATGAGGTTGGCGTTTTCTTTCCTTGTTAAGAGTGGCCCGGAATGGCGCATTTACAAGAGCTCTGTTGTAATGAAAGAATCGTGGGAGTTGTCGTAAATGCCACAACCGCTGACCCCCACCTCGGTGGCCTGGGTGATGACTTACAGTTCAGAGACCACAAGTTCAGCAACGTGTTTTGTAGACCTTGCCATTGCCCTCCACACCCTCCCTCACAGCTCCAAGGTCCTCCCGGGAAACCCGGGAAAACACACACTGTCTGATCTGGGATACTCACTCCCAACCTGGGGACAGGAAAAGGGGGCCTGCACGGAACAGAGTGGAAATTATTAAATTACTCGGCTACAGTTAGTGGTCTTCATGAAAGATAGACTGTGACAGATCCCCCAAAAGTACCTAAGTTCAATGAAAATGATACGCAAGTCATACGCCATACAAAGGTATTGAGAGAATTTTACTTTGCTGAATAATAACAATACTCTCCCAGTTGTGAGTGCTCACCATATATGAGGCACTGTTCTGAGTGATTGTGAATTATCTCACTGAATAGCCACCTCACAGAGGCTATACGGTAAGTGCTGTATGTAACTGTGTTGTTATAGTTAAGGAAACAGACACAGGAAGGTTGAGTAGCTTGATTTAAGTTGCACAGCTGATAAGTACTGGAGCTGGGATTTGAACAGGGCCAGTCGAACCACATCGCTTCTCTTCTGTAGAAGTGAAGTTGACTCTAAACCAAATTATTTAAATTCTCACATTCCCCTTGAATGCCATACAATTAAACACAGGTATCTTGAGGAAACTGTTGGCCTCTAAACACAGTAAAAATAATAATGAATAGAGTCAACCCTTTAGCATTTTATATACAATATGATAACAAATAAATATTTGAAGTAATGTGCACAGAACGTAGATGCCCAGACGCACCGGAACCTCTTTCCCTTCGACAACGCCCCCTGCGGAAGGAGGGGAAGGAGGGCGGTGGCCATTCAAGTTCAGTGCGAGTTTCTGCACTGCTGGCGAGGGAGCCTGCCGCCCTCCAAACTGGAGTTCCCTTAGTGACTTAATAAGCTCCAGGCAGAGCTGTCGATGTTATTATAATTTCCTTTTTGGAGAGGAAGGTTAGCTTCTGTTTACCACTGTCCTTACCATAACATATTATTTCCCTGCTATGGTTTTCAGAGCCGTGTGTTCTCCGTTTAAGTAGTAGGTGTATTCTATGTGCATGAACATGACTTTGGGGGAAGATTCTCTTCGAGGCCACCAATCTTCACTTTGCTTTGCGTAAAGGGAGGTGCAGGCGGTTCTCCCTGCCATTTCTGCCTGACAATTCCAGAATTTAAGATCCTGCCACTCAGGCGTGTCCTGTGCACCGTCTCAGCGCCGCCCTCCTGGCCGCAGTGAGGAGCCGCAGCCTGTGATGGCGGCTGCCTCCCGCAGTGCCTGCAGCGCTTGAAGGAGATTGTCCCACAGCAGAGATTGGGTGCAGCTGGTCAGGGCGCCTCTGAAGCAGAAATTGCGCCTCTGAATGAGCTGGGTGTGTGGGCGGCAGGGCAGCGCCTCTCCTGGCCCTTCCGTCCTCACCACTGCATCTAACGCCTGCGCCTTTTCCTCTTCTGTAAAACTGGGCATTTAAACTGGACCATGGCTAAGGTGTCTTCCCCAGCAGACGAGTGGGCTGCGCACGGCCACAGTAACCCTCCGTGCAGCCCACGGGGAGCACCCGGCGGGGCCCAGGAGCTGCAGGGGCGGTGATGAGAAGGGTCGCTGCCCTTGCAGCACCTACCGTCTGTTCAGGAGTCACACGTGCATGAGCTAATCACTCCAATGGAGAACCGAGTGTCGCGGTTTAAAGCGAAAGTCTGGGCCGCTGTGCACGGGGGTTGAGCAAGGAAGCAACACCTTGCCGTGAGTTGAAAGATCACGCTGGCCATGCCCACTGGGCCCCAGCGCAACGTGGGTTGGGTCAGGGGTTCCAGACTCCAGGACCCTTCAGAACACCTGCATCTGCCTGCACCCCATTCAGGCCGGCAGCCTGTCTGAGTTTATCACCCCGGGGATCTGGTTCCTTTTGAAAACTTTATTATCTTCCTGATAAGGTGGCCCCTGACCCTGTGTGAATTCCGCTAATTTCTTGTGTATACAAGGAAACAGTCTTGTAAATATATCATTGGAGTGATAAGCTCCAGGATGTGCTTTTCTGTTCACCACATTGTCCCTTAACTACGTCGTCCCTCCTTACCCAGGGTTTTGCGTCCCGCTAAGTGACCTGTGGTCAGCCACTCTCTGAAAATGCTAAATGGAAAGTCCCAGAAATAAACTATTGGTAGGTTTTGAATTGCATGCATTCTGAGGAGTGTGATGAAATCTCGCTCGATCCCGCCCGAGAGGTGAATTATCCCATTGTTCAGTGCGTCCACGTTGCAGACGCTGCCCACTCCTTAGTCGCCTAGCGGTCGTGCGGGTGGTCAGACCTGCTGGCGGCACCACAGTGCCCGCGGCCAGTGGCCCTGGGTTTCCTTTGCAGCATCTCATGGGCCTCATTTCCTCTCATCTCAGGGACACTGTGTCATCTCACTGCATCGCAGGAAGGAGAAGGCTGAGTACAGCGTGTGCGGGATTTCGAGAGACCACATTCACTTACTCTCGTTACAGTGCAGTGTCATAATTGTTCCATTTCATTATTCTTTATTGTTAGTCTCTTCCTGGGCCTGATTTATAAATCAAACTTTCTCATAAGTATGTATGTATATAAAAAATTATAGTACATATAGGATGCGTTACTATATGTGGTTTCAGGCATCCACTGGGGGTCTTGGAATGTGTCCCCCGTGGGTAAGGGGGGCCTACTGTGACTACTGTACATCAAAGCTCTTGCATTGGCTTTTAAAATGAGTGCGCTCTGGGTTTTTGTGGCTTGGCTGCCTGTTGCTGCTTCTTAGTCCCCACTCAGACCTGGGACAGGAGTTCACAGTGTGGTGCGGGAGGAGGGCCTGGGCTCTGCGGGGACTGGATTCAACAAGGAAACCTGTAGGCTTGGCAATGGCCCTGGAGGAAGTGGGTGGTGAGAACTGGGAGAGTGAGGGGTGGGGGATGAGGCTGGAGAACAGAGGACACCTAGTGACGCACAGGCCGCCTGGGGGGAAGGGGAGAGCGAGTGTTGAAGTGGCCCCGGGGGGAGCTATAGGACCCATCAAACAACTGCACCACCTGGCAGGGGAAGTGGGAAAGAGCAGGCCAGGCCAGGGGAGGACAGGCGCCACGGTGGTTGGCAGTGAACCCAGGGCAGCAGAGCCCTCTGAGTGGGACCCGTGCACTGGGGACTCGGCCTTTTGGTGCTTGTTGGGTACCTATGTGTTCAGAGCATCCTGGGGGCAAACAGTAGCTCTTGTCTTCGCATCCTGCGTTAGGGTAAATCCATGGATGGGGAGTAGGGGACGAATTTGCGTCTTTAGGGACACTTTGTTGGGGAGATGGGAGGGCATGTCGGAGGAATGACATCAGCCCACTACGTTGGACGGTGACCTGTGCCACGCTGGCATTGCTGTGTCCCCAGCTTTGCCAAAAGGGTCCCTAGATGCTTCCCATATAGGGTGGTGGATGAATGAATGGGTGGGACGAGATCTAGGGGACAGAGGACAGGATGTGACCTTTGGATTAGGCTCGTGCCCATCACTGGCCAGCCTCGAGCTGTTTCAGTGGAGAGGATGGGGGGGCCGGGGTGACAATGGGGAGGGGAGTGGCAGGGTACACAGACCCCACCTTCACTAAGTATAGGCTGGAGCTGTGGGAGGGAAACTGGACTGGGGCAGCTGGTAGGGTTAGGTAGAGCCTTTCCCAAAAGGAGCCCATGATTTCCTTTGAGGGACATGCCTGGAGTTGCCTTAATGGATGGCCAGGATTTTTAATGAGGACAGGGAATGACGTCTGTTGGCAGAGGAGGAAGAGGGACAGCACTTGGGTTACCAGGTGCTGGAGGCTTGATGTGGGAGTCTCCAAGCAGCCTAGGAAGTGCTCATGTGAAATGGCCTTGCTTTACAGGGGGAGAAGCAGACGCCCGGAGTGGCGGACATCTGCCCCACGGTGGCGCGGCCAGGGGCCTGGAATGGGATCAGCCCGGTCCTCAGGGCATGGGCCCCCGCCTCTGAAACTCTCAGCCACAGTTAGCCAGAGCTGGCTAGAACTTGGGCTGGAAAGGGCAATCGGGAGTGATGGGCCGGGAGGCAGAGAAAGTGTAGGAGAGGTGGGCGGCGAATTCTGAGTGTAGAAGAGGCGGTGGGGGTTCTGGGCGGAGCCGCCCGAGTTAGAACCTGCATGTCAGCAGAGAGCGGGGTGAAGGGCCTTCAGGGAGAGGGGCCGGTTCAGGGCAGGCCCCCGGAGCTTGGCTCACCTCCCGGTGTAGCCTGCCAGGGACGCAGCCGCAGAGCCCAGAGCAGAAAGGAGCGAACCTCAACTGCCGAGAGCTCACTGAAGTTGCTCGTGGAAGTGGTGTGGGCAGAGGAGGGAGAAGACGAGATGAGTGTGCTGGTGAAGTCTTCTAGGAAGAGCCGGGGTAGGCCTGAGAGCAAAACTAACTTTCTTTTTCAAAATGCCTGACATTCGTTTTCACATTCACAGTCGCCCGAGAAATACGCTGCCTTATTCCTGTTTAAGGGATGAGGAGACTCGAGGCTTAGCTCCCAGGAGATGCTAGCCCAGTGCCTTCTGACTACAGGGGAGCCCCCAGGTGGGAAGGCAGTGCAGGCCCCGCTCTGCCTCGTTCCTTTCCCAGAGCTTCCCTCTTCCCGAGGGGGACAAGGGGACATCAGGTTTCAGAACCGGACCCGGCGTACTGACAGACATGACTTTGTTTACCTAGAACATACTTGGAGCTGATGCTGGGAGCGTTCACACTTGTGTAGCTTATTTTTTTTCCCTGTTAGATACATTTTACACATGCCAGTTCAGAGAGGTTGGGTATTGCGACTGAAGCCACTCAGCTAATAAGCCAGTCAAAGCTGGTTTGGGGACCCAGCCCCAGATGCTGTATCTTCAGATCAACTCTGAAGATGGTGGCTCCCTGGTTCACCCTGGTGTGACAAGGGGAAACTGGGGCTCCAGGCCGGTGGCAAGTCCCAGACTAGCCAGGGAAGAGCTTCAGCCAGAGCCCAGATCTCTCTCTGCTCTCCTGGGGCCCTTGTGGGCAGAGGAGGATTCAAAGGATGAGTCCCAACATCCCCCGGACATCCAGGACCCGGACGGGGAGGCCAGCCCTGGGCCTTTGATCCCCAGAGGGGGGACGGCGCCCTCTGAGGGTGGGGGCTGTGCCGGTTCTGGGGGATTCCCTCCCCACCTGCAGGTGGTTGCTGGGGTGGGGGTGGGGTGGGGCCGTGACCTCCCCCAGCAGGTACAGGGCTGGGGTTTGCAGGTCCTTTGTTGATTTCTTTGCACTTCCCTCACTGGCTGTGTTTGCCGTTTGGGCTCCCAGGGGCCCTGAAAGGAGGAGCCCTGGAGGGCGGACGCCAGTTCTGGGTGATGGCTGCAGGGGAGGGGCCCTCCTCGCAGATCTCAAGTTTTCTAGAAGTTAGCATGTGGGGTCCAGGAACTTACTTGGAAATGTTTCTGATTTATTTTTATTGCCAAGCAATATCCAATGGAGATGTGGGAAAAGACCCAGGAGCCTGCAACTCATCAGTCACCTGCTCTTTTTTTCTGATGTCCCTCTTCATCCTTATCTTTACTTGAGTGATTTTATAGCATCCTAACTGCAGGGTAGATCCGCCCGCCCGGTGCCGTAGCCAGAGTTTGAAACCTACTGGCCATCGTAAACGTCTCCGCTCTGCGCAGCTGAAAAATTTAAGCAGCTGTGTGGTATTTCTTTGGGTGGATAAACCTACTCCCCTGTTTGGGGGACATTTAGATTGTTTCTAGCTTTTTACTGTTACAGACAGTGCTATAATAATTGTTTTTCTTTCAGAAAGAAATTAGTTCCCTCACATAAATTCTCAGGAATTTGGGTTCCTGGTTTGAAGAGACTGAGAACTTTTTTTTCTTTTCCTTTAAAATTGGCCTTCGGAAACTCTGAGCAAATCCCTTAAAAGTGACTTCCTTGCGTATCATTTTTGTAATCAGCAAACTGGCAGGGGGTGCTGGGCCTGGTGTCTGGGGCTGTGGGAAGTCACCTCCCCCAGCCGGGGCCTCTGGGGGCCAGGCTGTGTCCCGGAAATGGCCCAGGGCCAGGTGTCGCTCACCTCCGGTTTTCCTGCTGCTGTGGTTGGGGAAGGGGGGGTTTGCTCGCCAGTCATCTACCTACCTGTCTCCCTCCCAGGTACCTGGGGAGTTTGTTGCTGCATGAGTGGAGCACTGAGCATCTAGAAGCTTCACCGTTGCTCACTTGTTCAGAAATAGAGACCCCAGAGGGGGTAGCTGCTGTAATTTAGCTTCTGGCCCCTTTAGATCAGCTCTGAAGGTTGATGCCTGTTTTCCCCGATTTCCCCAGGATTTGTTCCTGCTAAGAGTGGCTCCTTGACTCCCAGATGCTTTGAGGTTCCAGGAACACAGTCGGTGAAATTCTCTACCTCCACGGAGAAACACTACCTGCTCCTTCATCAAAAGCAAGCTGCCCACTGCTATGGATACCGAATCCACGTATTCTGGATATTCTTACTATTCAAGTCACTCGAAAAAATCTCACCGACAAGGGTATGTAAGCTGTGGATGGCCCCGCCTTCCTTATTGGGGACACTTGCAGGTCACTGGGCGTTTAGATCAGCTTTTCAGGCCCGTGGGAGTTGCAGGGCTGGGGGGCTGGGCGTTCGGTCCCCGTGCGTGGGAAGCGGAGCTCGAAGAGCGTTCAACGCGGCTGGGTGTGACCACGCTGCCACGCTGCGTTTTATTGCTTCTATTGCAGTTGATGACCTTAGTGTCTCACAATCAACTTTAAATTAAAGTTTCTCTCTGCAGTGGAAATGTTTCTTCACTTCCAAGTACTTCTCACAGATGGCAGTTCTCCCAAAGCTTTAGGAAGAATGTAAATGGGAACTTTTTAAAAGCTGTGTTAATTTGTTGCTTTCTGGCCAAAGCTGCTGCCTCGGTCCAGTTTGCATCTGCCAGGAGGCTTACGGGGTGAGGCGGGATGGGCCTGGCGCTTCCTTCTCTCTGACTAGTCTTCCCAATCGAACAAACTCGGGCCTTGAGAACACTGTCCCGGGGGCTAGGGGCTAACCCCTCCCCTGAGCAGAATGCGCAGGGGTGCACGGATACGCACGGAGCCCAATGTGCAGACCTGCTGAGCGCTTGGCAAGTAATAAGTGACTGAAGAGGAGGCGTCGTGCTGCTGGAGGCTGCGGGTGCTGAAACTGTGCCACCACTTCTTCAGACTCATCTGTGAAATGGGTACAGTAGTCGCCTCCTTGCAGTGTTGTTGAGAGGTTATTAAATGGTGCACGTAAAGCACCTAACACAGCACATAGTAGGAGGTCGCTGGCCAGTGGCTGCATCGATGCCATGAGTGGCCATGGCATTTCAGCCCCACGGTCAAAGGCCCCGTCTGGCCACTGCCCAGAGGCCCACAGGTGGCCCAGCCCTGCGTGGCCTGGGCAGGGTGACAGGCATGTCCCTGACTGAGCAGGTCCTCGTATGAGCAGCTGAATGCAGATCCATGCGCAGGAAGGGGCCGGGCAGGGGTTCTCCTGGCTGCCAGGAGGGTCCTCCACGCAGAGGGGGCTAGATGTGGATGGTGGCTGGTGGGGACACTCCTGTCCCTGTCATCATCCTTCTGTGCGTGTTCAGTCTTCCACAGGTGTGCCTCCTGCAGTTAAAAATCTGAATGGGATAAAAAGGGTAATAGAAGGGTTTTGAAAGATACCTAATGACATATAAATGTGTTCCTGAGGCCGTGCTGTAAAAAGCAAGGTTCACCCCTTCGGACGTTGTGAGAGCCCCCCGTTCTCACGATGAGGTGGGTGTGCACAGGCGGACCACGTCAGTGTCTGGGTTACGAAGGATCCGAATCTGCCTCTGGGGTTATGAGGGTCATGGGTACTGTACTTTCAAAGTTTCACAATTTTCTGAGTGCTCGTGCATTGCTGTTAGAATCACAAAAATTCAGGGTAAGGTTGCACATGGGCCCGTGGTGGCCCTGCGAGCCCCGGTGACAGCGGTGGTGCTGCCGCAGGTCTCCGCTACGGGGTGCACACACCAGACTCCCTGTGAAATACCAGGAATAGCGCTTTCAAAGCGGTGAGTCTTCGGACCTGCCTGGAAAAAGCCGTTCCTTGTCTGTGTGCCCGGCTTCCCTTTTCCACACCACAGGGTGGATGTTGGACCTCGGGGCTCTCTTGGTGTTCGGGGATGAATAAGCGAGACCCCTTGCGGTGTTCTGAGTGGGGACCATCCCCGGTGTCCTTTATCTGCACGCGTGTCCCGACTGTCACGCCTCGGGGCCGCTGCTCGGCTGTTCCCCCAGGCCTCTGGGGGCCCCCGGAGACCCATCCAGAGCTGCCATGCCCTTGTGGAAGCTGAAAGAGACTGTAACTTTCCATATTAACGGCATGCAGAACTCCTAGGCCCTTCCCTGGCCCATGTGGAAAGCACTTAGCAAATGATAATGCAAGCTGAGACTTTTAATAAATTGATCGAGGAACGGCACTGGGGGCCGACACGAGACAGGTCTGGTGCAGGGACGCCGTTTGCAGCTCCACGGCTCTTCACACGCGGTGTGAAGGCGGCGCTCACATGTGGTGAATGCCCTGTCTGCGGCCCTGTGGGACGTCGTCACTGTGGGGCAGAGGCTGTCACTCTTTGTCAGGACGTACAGGACACGAAGCAGTGTCAGTTCCCCTCGACAGCCCAGAGCCTCTCGTCCCCCAGACTGTCCCTGGGGAAGCTGCTCTGCTCAGCGCCTCACTGGGAATTTGAACAGAAGCGTAGGAAAGGGGAGGTCCTGGCTTTTGGGGGTAATCTTAGTAGAACTGTGACTCAGAGAGGAGTCGTGAAGCGCTCCAAACATGATATGCCTCATGACACGGAGATCGACTTCACAGGAGGGGCTGGGTTCCAAGCAGATGACAGGTGACTCTTTTCTAGCAAAGAGGTTAGTGCCCTGGTTTCGTGAGGTCTGTCATCTCCAGAGGGTGTCGGTTGAATGGCGAGGGAAATGGTGCAGCCTCGGCAGACCTTGCCTAACCTGTGGGTCTGGTGCACCGGTTCCTTGAGCCGAGTACAGCAGCCACGGCGAGGACCACCGGGCGAGCGCCCGCGGGGGCCCTCAGTCAGTCCTCTCCTGCGTCCTCGCAGCCGTCCTGCAGTGGTGGGAGGCGGTGCCCCCACCGACCGGCTGGTGAGATTGCGGCCCAGGGGCACCACGATGTGCTTGAGGTCCCCAGGCTGGTGGGCACCTGCTGCAGGTGCCAGGCCTACTTGCTGGCTTTTTGGAAGCCCGTGCTTTTCCCCTGGGCTGGGCAGGAGTCGGTGGCAGGAACACAAATGGAAAGGAAACGAAGAGTAACTCATGTGACTAATATGCCAAAATGCATTGTCCAAAATAGGGCTGCCTGAGCGGAGGGGGCTGGGGCCTTTGTTCCCAGGCTGCCCAGACCGAGTGCGAGAGGAAGCAGCCAGCCAGGCCCTGCAGTCAGCAGAGAGAAAGGGCAGGTAGTGGGTGGTGGTGAGAAGGAAAGGGAGGGGCACCTGGTGGGGCCAGCTTTCCCTAAATAGAAAGAGCAAACAACAGCCACAGAGCCAAATCCGCTTCCCAGGAAATGCCGACTGTAAGAGGGACTCATGTGGGACTCGATGGGGAAGCTGCCGGGCCCAGGGCTTTGCAGCAGCTGCCAAAGGCTCAGCTCTAGCATCGCCCGGGTAGGTGCACTTACACGCACGCAGGTACAGATGCGTGCTGCGCCCTTGCCCGCTCTGCCTGCCCCTCTTGCACACACATATGCACAGATACACTCATCTTTACCCAGACAGGCAGAGGTTGCATGGAAACAGACAGAGAGGAAGATACCAAGAGTCCCGTGGCTGACACACCTGTTCAGCAAAGGCACGCAGGTGATCCAGACCTCTTGGAGCCGGAAAGCACCCACCTGTGCCCGTGCTTCTGTCAGTGGCTTGGTTGCCTCAGTCCCCCGATCTCTGGTCCATGTCCTCTGACTGGTGACCACGGGGGAGCCCTCTCCCAGAGGACAGGCCCTTCCTTGGAGTCAGGGTGTTGGGAGCAGTTGGGACAGATGCGGGGACCTGTTGCACCGAGGCAGCCACGCTGTGGCTGTAGCTGTGTGAACTGGAAAGCGCCGGCCGACGGGGTTTTTGTTGGACTCCTGTATTCAGTGTCGGTGTAGACCCCCCGGGGCAGCCACTCAGGACCAGCGCCTCCGAAAAAGCCGCAGGCCGGTTCTGGCTCCCCGGACAATGAGGAGGGATGGGCCCTTCACATTCGCCCTCACTTGGCTGTGGCGGGGAAGCTCTCGCCACTGGGTGTCCCTGTGTCCCCATGCACGCTGCCCTGAGCCTTTCTCCCAGCCTCACCCCCCAAGGCTAGTTGAATGAAGAAGCCACTGGACCTTGCCACATTGTACAGCTGAGGATTACACCCATGGCTCTCTTGATGGAGCCCCTGCTGTAGACAGGGCATTTCACGTACAGGCTGACTTCCAAGCAGCTAGTCCAACAGCGCCCCACCCCCAGGAGGGTCTGGGTGGGAACCATCAGGAGAACCATTCCTGGATCACCTGAGGCACTGGTGAGAAATTCAGATTCCTGCTGTCTCCCTCCCCAGACGGATTCTAGGAGGGTGGCGCCAGCGAGTCTATACCCAGATCCTCACCCCTGGGGACTTCTCTGCACACTCCGGTTTGGAAGGCACTCGTTTAAGGTTTCTGGCGCTGGGGATGAGAAACCCCCCTGGGGTTATCAGATAATGGGCTCTTATCTAGTTTACCTCAGATGTTACCAGAGCAGACGGTGCTTCTCTTTCGGGGGCTGTTGGGCCCTTTACAAGCCAGGCTGAGCTGGTGGGCAGGCAGACAGGCTGTTTCTAGCCCTGGGTGGTTCCCCACCCACCCCCTGCCTGGCAGGGCTCAGGCTCCAGGAATTGGCACTCAGGAAGCAGTTTGATTTCCAATGGAATTTGTGCTGTCACAGGATTTGACCCCTGGGGCCAGTGGTTGGACAGATAGGTTGGGGGAGCGTGTGACTTGACCGATGGCAGAGAGAGTGACAGAGGTGAGAGCAGGTGGGGAAAGGGGAGACATAGTGAAATCGAGAGGGAGGCTGCTGGTTCTGGCCTGGGGCTGGGGGGACCCCGAGGAGCCGCAGCTCTAGACCTTGAAGAGTTCACTCTGGCACGTGGGAAATCTCGCCGGGGCTGCTTATTGTTTCTCACTGGGAGTCCTTCGGAAGTGGTTATTTTTGGCAGCCCAGGGTATTGGGCACTCTCTGCTCCCCAAGGTCACAGCCTGGCTGTGACTCCGAGCAGCAGCCTCAAAGGCACATTTCATAGCTGCAGTGGCTCATCCAGCACAGGGTATGGGGGGCGGGGGCCATGGAATATTCAAGGGGCAGAACCTTCCTGTGGCTCCCGAGATCAGTGTGGCCTGGCGCAGTGTCATCCGAGGCAGAGAGGAGTGGCCTGGGCTCGGATCCTGCTCTGACACTGTGACTTTGGGAAGTCACTTAGCCTCTTTGAGCCCCAGTTTCCTTGTCTGTAAAATGGGGACAGGAATACTGGCCTCATACGATTATCGTTGGGTTGGAATGAAATTAATACAATAAAGTACTTAGTAAAGCACTCTAAGAATTGGGAGGGTGGTGGAATGGAGTGATTGGCCTTCCCTTCTCCGAGCTCCCGGCTTTTTCCCTCCCTGGTTGCCTGGTTAAAATAAAACACCCGTGCTGATCAGAACACATCTACTCCTAGACTCTGATTTACAGCAGATTGCAGTGGTAAGCTGTGTAGAGATCAGAGATGCTATCACCTGGGAGTCAGCAGCGTCCCGGCTCTCGGGAGGACTTGGCCCAAGCTCATCCTGGGAGGCCACCGACAAGGCAGGAGTTGGAACACAGGCGGTCTGTGGGGTTCTGTTAGCTGAGTGGCAGGTTACGGGAGATGCGCGATGGAGGGAGGGCAGCCTTCCCCAAGTCAAGCCCCCATGTGTTGCCTTGGGTGAGAGGAATATAATCACCGCCACTGCCTGTGGACCCTCATTCCACACTCCTGTGTGGCTTTACCTGCTCTGTCTACGTGGTTTTATCATCGTCCCCATTTCACACACGAGGAAACGGAGGCGTCCAGAGGCTGAAGAACGTGTGCAGGGCCACACGTCTCGTCGGGGCAGAGCTGAGGTCTGAGTGTTTGTCCCCACGGCGAGTGTGCGCAGTGCTTCTGCCCTGCCAGGGACATGTGGGAAGGAAGGAGGACAGTGAGTGAAGGAAGGTGGACTGAGGTCAGGGCCTCCTGTGGGACAAGAGGCTGAGGGAACATGCCACCGAGGGGCTCCTGTGGTTGTACTGACCATTCCCAGTTGGGGGCTGGAGGGCCAGTTCCCCTGGGTCATTGATGCCCAGGTGTTGACCTCTGAGCTTTGCAAAGGGATTGATTTCTTTTGCAATGTCGAGGAGGACCCACAGCAGGGGGCTCTTACAGCCACCTTCAGGGACCACCTAGAATTAATGTGACACAGCAGCCAGCTTTCCTTTGGAGGCCTGAACACACACTCACATGCACACACACACAAACACACAAATGCATGTGCACATATACATTCACACACGCACACACACGGACACACATGTGCACACTGTGGTGTCATTCGACCTAGCTTTTGTTTGTTTCTGGGGGTGTCGTTGAGTTCACCTAGACCTGGTAGGAATGCCTTTTAGCTTGCATGTGTAGGAATGGGAAGAAATGGTTCTCTGTGTTGGTTTAGAATTTCCTTTCTTGTCCAAAGGTGTAGGGTGACGGTGTGTCCCAGATTTTTTTGGACAGACCCAAGCTTGAATATTGTGCAGGGCTGTCCTAATACAAGGTCCTAGAAGATAAATTTAGGTAAATAAAAAGCAAACCAAGGCAATCATTTTACAATGCCAACGTGCTTTAGCTACACAAACTCTAAAATTCCCTGTTTTAGACCGTGAAAAAATAGGATCTCGGAAAGGAAATACTAAGTAGGGAGAAAAGATCCACTTACTCTTTGTGGGGGGCAACTGTGTGTTTGTGTGTGATTTTTTTCCTAAATTCAAAATGAAATGTACAGTCTATTTTGATGAGAGTTAATTAATTTGGGGGAAAATGTGCTAGCTGATTATCTTTCTTTTTCAGGGAACGAAACAGAGAGAGACACAAATCACCCCGGAATAAAGATGGCAGAGGGTCGGAGAAATCGGTCACCATCCAGGCTCCCCCCGGAGAGCCACTGCTGGCCAGCGATGCCACTCGGGCGGAGGAAGTCCAGGTGAGGGTCAAAGGCAGCCTGTGAGCGCGCCGCCCTTGGTCAGGGCTCCTTTCGGTAAATGTTTTTCTAAGCCGTGTTGCAATAGGTTCTCTTGGGTTTTTATCTTTATTTTCCCAGCATGTTGATTAGTTTATCTACTACCCGCGGTTTCTTGTTGGTCTAAGGACAGCTTGTCCTGCCATTGGCTAGCTTGGGGATTCTTCTTAAGTGTGACTGGCAGGCTTGCTTTGAATGGTGTTGAAAAGAAACCAGCGAGGCAGACCTCCGGGCAGAGGAGGGAAAAGCTAAGGGCTGCAGTGTCTGGAGACTCCCCGCGGTGGAGCAGGATAAAGGAAGGGAGGACTCTCCTTCCCGAAGCCCAAGTTGAGCAGCGGAGAAGACCAGGGTGGCTAGGACAGCCCGGACAGAACATCACCACTGGCCATGAAATGAATCGGGGGCTACGTCCTTAGATGCCCGGTAGGGAGACACGGGTGCACCAAGTAGGCCCTGGACACACTAATAGGCAAGACACACCACGCAGGGGTGGGGGTGAACAGCCCCCACTGGTGGCCACCACAGTGTCGGCCGGGACAGTGAGTGGGGGGCGGGGGAGTCTGTGGCGCCCTGGAGTCGGCATTTCCTCTGTCACTCGCCGGACAGCAGCTCCTTGGCCCCAGACACGTCGTCCTGCCTGGTGATGCAGGGATTCTGTGGTGTGCCTTGCCATGTTTAAGAAAAGCTGGAAATCAGGATTTTAGGTGAAATCATCCAATTTTTTAAGTAGAGTTGACCTGTGAACAACATGGGATTGAGATGTTGATTTTTTTTTTCAGTAAGTAAGTACAGTCCTGTAAATGCATTTTTCTCTTCCTTACGATTTTCTTCATAGCATTTTCTCTAACTTACTTTATTATAAGAAAACAGTATGTGATACATGTACCAAATGTGCATTAATCCACTGTTTATGCTATTTGTAAGGCTTCTGGTCAGCAGTAGGCTGGTAGCTGTTAAGTTTTGGGGGTGTCAAAGCTGTATATACGCTGGTCTTCGACTGTGCACGGGGCAGGGGTGTCAGTACCCCTAACCCCTCATCGTCCAGAGTCAGCTGTATTGGTAATTTATGAATTTTCTAAATAAAACGTTCTGTGGGTCCTTCTCCCTGGGCCCCCACTGTCTGGCAGCCCACCGGAGTTGAATAAACGTCTGAACTGCACTCAGAAGCACTTCTGTGTGTCCTCCACAGGTCCTGAAACACACGCGTGTCCAGCCTTGGCCCCCAGCACACTGGGGCAGGCACACGCAGCTGTGGAGATACAGGACCGTGTGTGCCTGCAGGTGTACCCGGGTGTGCACTTATAAGCAGATAGATGGACTGAACTTAGAATTTCCCAGAGTATACAAGGTGCTCTCAGAACCCCGAGCTGCAGCTGGTGGATGAGTGTGGGGTTTGTCCAGTGATGAGTCACGGTCTGTAGTTCGGGGTCAGAGGTTTGGAGGGGTGGTTGGGTGGATGGGGCCCGTCCTGAGAGTGGGCCTCCCTTAGGTCCTGCGGGGGTCAGTTTCCTGCCAGATGTGGACCGAGAGGCACTGGTGGCCCACATGAAGGCCTTTCTCCTTTGCAGCTTCTCCGCATCCGGTAGCTGCGTCGGGAAACTCTTGGCGTTTACGCCAGGATGATGACGTGGGGGGAGGAGCGTGGAATTGGGCATTTGGGGGCTGCACTTCTCAGTAGTGTTGTGACTGTGGGCAGTCACCGCCTTGGGGGGGGCCTCCCTTTCTTCATTCAAAATCAAGGGGCTTAGATGAGAGGATCTTAGATCCTTTTGCCGTTCTGAGAATCTCAAGCTTGAGAGGGCCCTTTGGACATCAGCCTGTTTTTGGCACGGGCGTGCACACATTCTGAAATGCACAGGGGGGTAGTGAGCATCTCTTTGGCAGGAAAAAAGGGGAGTGGCCAAATCAGAGCAGCGTGGTGGTCAGCAACGTGACTGAAGGGTGGTACTAATGCTTCCAGTATTGGTTACCCACTGCGTATCGAGCTCCGTGCAAAACGTGGAGCCCGGAACTGCCCTCACGGACAGTGTCCCAGAGTAAATGGTTTCAGGGAGCCTGTGACCTCACCTGGTATCGGAGCAAGTTGTCCCTCTTTGAATGTGTGGCTGTTTTTTTTTTCTCTGCGATTTTTTTCTCTTTAAAAAATGGAAGTCAACTTAGATACAGAGAAATGAACAGATGTCACGTGCACAGTTTGAAAAATGTTAAGAGCGGAATAACCCCATAGAACTCACACCCCGACCGACACACATATTTCTGTTCCTCCAGGAAGTCCTCCGCTGCCACCCCCACCTCTCCGAGGCAGGCCCTGTTCGGATTGCTAGATCAGCTTTGCCCATCTCAGAATTTGGTGTAACTGCAGTCACATTCTCCTGCTTTGGACTTTCTTGTTTTCACTCAGCACATGATTTTGAGATTTGCCCAGGCCGTGGTGTTTCCGCAGCTCGTTCTTTGGTATTTTGCTGAGCAGTGCTCCGTTGTATAAATACACCACAATTTGTTACGCATTCTCTGGAGGGACAGACATTTGGGTTTCGCTGTTTGGGGCGATTATGAATAAAACTGTTAAAACATTCTCGTACAAGTCTTTTGTGGACATATGTTTTCATTTATTGTGATAAAAACCTGGAAGTGGAATTGCTGGGCCATATAGTTAAACATATATTTAAATTTATATGAAACTGCCAGATGAGTTTTCAGGAGTGAGTGTGTCATTCTGTACTTCCCACCAGCCGTGACGAGAGTCTTGGTTGCTTCTATTCACTCACACAGTCACCTCTCCACATACGTGATGCCTCTTCCTCCACAGTGGTGACCTTTGCCACCACTGCCACCGCTCGGCGCAGTCTGTCCATTTTGTATTTTTTATCCTTACTAGATTTGAGGTTGTTGTTTGGTTAGGAGAGCTCTATCTCGCCGACTCAACTGTTAAGCCAGATTTTCCTAAGTTGCTGTCTTACACATTAACTTCACCCACTCAGACTTCTTTCCAAGTTAAGCCGTGTATTAATACGCAAAGCTCTGAGGGCCGGCCTCTGTGGACCCTGTGGGGCTTTTCATCCCCTCCTTGTTCTGCTGTGGCTTTGAATGCCGTCAGCGTTGCCAGTGAAGTTCAAAAATTGTTTAAAATCATGGCAACTGGGTCTCGTTCAGTGCAGAGACTCATTGCTCTAACCAGAAACTCCCACAAAGTTTAAACAGAGAGAGAAAGCAAGAAAGTAGAGGACAGACGGGTTGTAATAATCCCGGTATTGCCATGCCTCTGATGTTGAACTTGCCAGGAGAACCAGGGAGAGAGTTTCAGCTGCCCCGGCCACAGACACTTGGATTTGCTCAGCTTGGTCGGCGAGAAGCGTTGTCAAGGAGGTGCCTGGCACTGGTGTTTATTCAGTGGGTCTTAAAATTATTCAGGAGCTTTTAAAAAAAGTGTGCCCTTGCTGCGGGCAAGCTTTGACTCGCTCCAGGTAAGTTCCCTCGCTCTGCCCGGCACTGTTCAGAGCTCCTGGGGGCACTTCCAGAAGGTGGACTTTGTAATAAGCCTCTATAACCCAGGCACGATTTGAGGAAGGGGCTGGGAAGGTTTTCTCTTCTCAGGCCATAGGCGAACTCCATGTGTTAGTCTAACAAACAGCAGGCTGTTTATCGCAGGACAAATAGTCCCTGACCCCCAAAAGCCCAGCAAGGGGTTCCAGCACAGGGAACAGCAACCAGTGTGGGAGTCTCCGGATGCACAGACAGAAAGGTCAGATTATGCTCTCCCTGTTTGTAAAGGTAAATAGAGGATGCGTTTTGAAAAATTTCAGTGGAAGTAGTTAAAGTTTAAAGTGCCTGCATTGAACGAGCTAAGCTTCTATTTTCTAGGAAGCGCATGTGGGGGAGGGGGACCCCACGAGGTGAGCCCTCCACGCCCACCCTGTCCCCAGGCACTCGCTCTGTGGCTTGTCACAAAGGGCCTGCTGCTGTGTGCGGCTCTTCACCCTCCTGTGTTCCCCCCGCCAGGATGACAACTGGGGAGAGACCACCACGGCCATCACAGGCACCTCGGAGCACAGCATCTCCCAGGAGGACATCGCCAGAATCAGCAAGGACCTGGAGGACAGTGTGGGGCTGGACTGTAAGCGCTACCTGGGCTTCGCCGTCGCCGCGGCGCTTGGACTTCTAGTTTTCCTCACCCCCATCGCCTTCCTCCTGTTGCCCCCCATCCTGTGGAGGGACGAGCTGGAGCCTTGTGGCACCATCTGCGAGGGACTCTTCATCTCCGTGGCCTTCAAGCTCCTCATCCTGCTCATCGGAACCTGGGCGCTCTTCTTCCGCAGGCAGAGAGCTGACGTGCCACGGGTGTTCGTGTTCCGCGCCCTCCTGCTGGTCCTCATCTTCCTCTTTGTGGTTTCCTATTGGCTTTTCTACGGGGTCCGTATTTTGGACTCCCGGGACCGAAATTACCAGGGCATCGTGCAATACGCGGTCTCGCTGGTGGACGCCCTCCTCTTCATCCACTACCTGGCCATCGTCCTGCTGGAGCTGAGGCAGCTGCAGCCCATGTTCACGCTGCAGGTGGTCCGCTCCACCGACGGCGAGTCCCGCTTCTACAGCCTGGGACACCTGAGGTAAGGGGCGACGGGACGCTCAGGAGGTCTTCGACAGGTGCAAGGGCCAGGACCAGGGTGTGACTCTTCTGAGGAGTTTTGAGAAGAGCTGTGTTTGGGGGGGTGAGGGGGAGGCATTCACGCACATTGACCATCCCGACTTCCAGATGCTGGCTTTTATCTAGGTCGGGGTTTAGCTGGATCTGCTCTTCAGGTTGTTGGCCCCTCCCAAAAATGGAGAAAGGATATGTAGTGATGGCTGCTGACCTTGCCCCTGAACTTGGCCTATGAATGATGGATTAAGCGATCAGCCATTCCATTTGCTCACAATGGTACATCTGGTTTACCCTGTTGTACCGGTGGGATTACTCTTCATTCCTGTTTTCTCCTTCCCCAGTGGCACCCTGGTTTGGGTGGTACATTACACGGTCGCCCTAGGGACCCTCCAGTAAGGAACCAAGTGCCAACGAGAGAGAGAGACTTCCAACTTGGAAGGGTTGGGTATTTTGAACTTGTGTTTGTGAGACAAAGTTAGAAATACATTGAGATGTCATGCTTCGCATCTGTGCATAAAACCTAATTATTCTGTGGTTAATTAAAAGAGCAATAATCATCATTCACTTATTTAATTTTATTTTGATTCATCCCAAGGTAAGCACTGGATAATACAAAGTGCCGTATTTCGTCTTCAAAGCACCCTTTAATTTCGGTTTTTAATCCCTCTTTACGGATGAGGAAATGGGTGAACTTCAGTCATTTGCACAGATGTCCTTAAGCGGGGCCTGAGTCAGTGTCCTCACGCGGGTGTCCCCCACTTGTGTTTACTGGCCTCGTTTCCTTTCTTCCACAAACCATGACTCCGAGGGGCAGGGGCCGTGTCTCGTTGCGCCCCCGGTGCCTGGCCTGGAGCTGGGCACACTGTTGGCAGTGACGTGGTTCCCCACCAGCTGCATCGCCTGCCTTGTCTGACCTTGCCCTCCCACTGGGCTCTCCGGCCTCACCAGGCCATACATGCCGATGCGTGTAACCTGCGTGGCACCAGCTCATCACAGCCATCACTGCTGTGGTGTTACAGCTGCCAGAGGGCACTTGAGTGGGTATCCGAACAGTGGGCTTTGTCATATTTCTGGCCAGGGCCCAGGAACACGGCCCAGTGCCGGTCTGGATGGGGTCATGCTGCCAGACAAGCGCGGTGTTGGCACGCACCCTCTCTCAGTCGCCGGGTGCAGCTTGCTCCATCCTGGACCAGTGGTTTAGCATTCAGGGCTGTGGCCAGCCTGACCCGTCCTCGCAGGGAATCAGTATCTGATTCACGTGCTCTGAGCAGCAAACTTAGGCACCTCGAGTCCTTTCGGTTGCCCCCCCAGCAAGCTCAGACAGCTTGCTTTTCTAAATTTTATGTTGGAGCATGAGCAGAAGGCTTGTATTAAATATCTGTGCCATGCAGAGCCCGGGACTGGGGCCCTGAGACCGGGGAATGGGGGGGTGGGGGGGTGGGGGGTGGCTGCCTGCGAGCTCTACGCCCCGAGAGAGACCAGCGCACCGCCGCGCAGCTGGATGGGAGGTGGGAACACAGGACGGGGGGATTCCAGGCTGTGGCCGCAGTGAAGCCCGGTGGGACACTGTCTTCAGACGGGACGGGCTTTAAGGATGAGTGAGCGATGGAGGAAGTCCTGCTCTGGTCCCAGGAGAAAGGAGTGACCGGTGGGACTTCGTAAACTAAGTGGCCAAGATACTGGCAGGGAGGCCCACTGTGGTTCTGTGTTCTGGCCTCGGTCCTCGCTGCTGTGAAGCATCTGCGGAGGTGATGTTGGGGGGGGGGAGGCAGGCTTCTCACCTTAGGTGGCTGGGGCGATGGGGCGGCCGCCCCTCCAAGGCTCTCTCCATCGCTCCCCCAAGACTGGACAGGGTGGGGAGACGTGGGGTGGGGACAGCGGAAGAGCCCAGAGCACTGTGCCTGTGGGATGTTCGAGAAATGGGCAACAGTGCTGGTACCTCACTCACTGCGCTGCCCATAGCTCTGCTGGCCAGGGTGGGCCGGGGTGGCCCTGGGCGGGAGAGGCTGGGCTGACGGTGCCGTGGCCCACAGGTGGGCTGCAGACCTCTCGTGGTTGTTCTCGCCATGACCAGCAGCCTTTGGGGCGTGACTTGCTGACCCTGGAGCCGTTAACCCAGAGAGGCGTGCAGGCTCCTGTGTCCAGCAGCCCAGGGGGGAGAGCATGTCCGGGTGGCCCCAGTGTCTCCCTTTCAGCTCCTTTCCGGGGCCCTCTGTGTCCACTCTCCCTGCCTCGCTCACACGGAGACCCCGGTTACGAGGTGGAAAGAAGACTGGAGAAAGAGGTGCCTTTGTTCACAAACAGAGCCCTTAGAGCCTGCAGTCCTGCGAAGGCCACTGTCATTGCCAGGAGCTGGGGCACGCCTGCCCCTCTCCCTCCCGGCACCGTGTGGGCGAGTCACCTGCCGGTGCTCGGGCTAAATCTGGTCCAAACCCAGCAGTGGCTGGAAGAGTCGCTGGGCCCGAAATGTAACCTCTGAGCGCTTTTGTGAAGTGTGGAAACATTCAGGAGGGAAGGGGATCGGAACAGACAAAGAGCGGGCCCTGGGGTGAGGGCGGCCGCTTTTCTCTGGCCCAGTGGGAGTCCCAGGCCCCTCCACGCACCCTTTATGTAAAGTCCTCCCCGCAGCAGGGACCTTTTGGGCCGGGGCTCTTTTCAGTTTTGTTTTCAAAGGTGATTTCATTGAATCGGCTGAGCTATTTTTGAGAGTTGTCTAAAGAACGCCTATTCTTTAGTTTCTTAGAGAAAATCTGCTTCTTGTTAGCTTTCATTAAAGGTCCTTGCAGGGGCCCTGCTTGTTGGCAGGAGTGGAGTCACGGCTTATTTGAAAATGTCCAGAAATGTAAAAGGTTATTGTCGTACAACGTGAGATAACATAAGTAGATTAAGAGACTTCCTAACCTTTGCCCGGTGCCTAAGGGAAGACAGAGGGCTTTTGGGGGGGGGGTCCGTCTCCTTCGTTCCTCCTGCCACTGGGGTGGCGCAGGCGGAGTCGCCCTCCACTGTGGAGGGTCCCCCAGCCGCAGGTTAGGGGGCCTGTGCAAGCTGCAGGGGCCCCCCCGCCCATGGGCCACACCCTGCCCTGTGCACTGCACAGCGTCCTGGGGTCTCGGGACAGTTGATCTGTGACCCTGCACACACGTGTCACTTGTCACTTGGCCCCATTCTCACGGCGAATTGCCAGCTCTTCCAGGATTTTACCAAAGAGTAGTGAGTTTTGATCTAACTGTATTTAGGGAGAAGTGCAGAAGAGAAAAGAGACTAAAAATAACGTTTAATTATCCTAATTGGTAATTTCTCAGGTTTTTTTTTTTGTAATCCTCACAAGAGGATACGTTTATTGATTTTTAAGAGAGAGATAAAAAGAGAAATAGCAACACGAGAGAGAAAAGCATACCGTTTGCCTCCTGCTCTTACCCCAACCGGAAATCGAACCCACAGCCTTTTGTCATATGGGGCAACCCCCCAACCAAGAAAGCCACCTGCCAGGCCAGCGTGATAGTTTCTCGGTTTTGACATCTTGAAGGGGAAACACTGTGGCTGTTGGAGTACAGAAGCTGGTGTAGCCGACTGGCCCCAAGATGCAAACCACGAACACCTTAACGATGCACGTAGCCCTTCCCCCGCTGGACTGCCTAGGCTCCCACCGTGTAACTCACTTGAGCCCCCCTGGCCTGTGGGATCTGCACCGTCACCCTGTTCTCAGAGGAGGAAGCCGAGGCGCCCAAGAGTGAAGCAGCCTGTCTGCCTGCAACCACGCAGCTCAGGACAGTCAGGGCCAGGGTGTGAGCCCAGGCTGTTTGCCTCTAGAACAGTCTTAACTGCTTCACCGTAGTGCCTCTGGCTAGAAATGTTCATGTTCATGTCTCTGCTGTAAGAGGTCGTGAAGGGCCCTGGCCGGACGGCTCGGCTGGCTGGAGCATCATCCCGTATGCGAAAAGGTTGCAAGTTCGATCCCCAGGCGGGGCGTGTGTGGGAGGGAACAGATCAACGTTTCTCTCTGGTATTGATGTGCTTTTTTCTTTCTTTCTCTCTCCCTTCCTCTCTCCAAAATCAATAAATATATCCTTGGGTTAGGATTTAAAAAAAGAGTGCATGAAGGAACTCACAAGCATTTCGGAGTGCTTACCCTGTTGCAAGCTGGGTGCTGTTTTTCATGCATTATCCCACTCCGTGTAACTCGTGGCTGTGGGGCTAGCGGGGAGGGAACGAGGAGGGTTGTCGGACGTGCCCTGTGCAGCCATTTCTTAGCCCATTGGTTCCTCTGTTCAGTCAGTGAGCAAACGCCTAACCACAGCAGTAGGTGTGAGTCTTTCTGTGGTCAAACCTTTTTAACTTTCTGTATGTCCCTTGTCCCAAAGAAGACCTCTTTTATCTATCTATCGATACTGTGTAAGACCACCCTAGAACTTCATAGTGCAGAGCAACATTTTATTATTTTGTTACAATCGCAGTTCTGTGAGTGGGCTTGGCTGGGAGGGTCTTTTGCTGGCCTGGCCAGGGGTCCCTGTGTGATCCCAGGTGCGTGGGAGGCAGCTGGGGCTGGGCTTCTCCCCCCAGAGAGCCCGCTTTGGGGAGCAGTTTCTTTATGAGGGCAGCGGGGCTCCTTTTCAGGGGTCCTTGTCAGGGCGCCCGGGGACTCGGCAGCTGACGCTCCCAGGACCATTTAAGGCTCAGCCCTGGAGCTGGCCCAGCACGGCTTGCCCTGAATTCGCCTGTCCAAGCAAGTCCGAGCCCCAGCCCAGATTTAAAGAGAAAGGACTGTGGGAGGCGGGGAGCCCTGGGCGGGGTGGCTCCTGGGGGTTCGTGACGTGGGAGACTCCCACGGCTATGCCAGACTGTCGTCCTCAGTCTGCTTGTCCTTACTTTGCATAGAGCGCTGACAGATTCAGTGAGTGACTTCTACACCTCAGAAAGCCCAGAAGTAGCATCTCTTAAGTGCGGGGAAAGAGCTCTTATAAGGAG